AGAATTGGGGCACTGAGATGGTAACCTACTTCCACTTATTAAAATTTGGAGGATTTTTCCGAATAAGACTAGAATTGTGATTTGGCTCTAATTAAAAATAATACTTTACTAGTACATGTGAAACATTTAACTAGCAATTCAGAACTCAAGAAGAAGAATCCAGTTTTTAATGATACCGGGCTCAGAATTGATAATGAAATACTCTTTCTACGGTTTATTTTATTCAAGGTATTCCATAATTCTGCCACCTAAATAGCTTGGGATACATCAGGCACAAAGAATGAGAAACAACACAAGGAGCTAATCAGGGTGGTATATTTATTGCTACTCACCCTCTGACAGGAATTTTGCCAGACTAATGCACTCACTACAGAAACTACTAGACAAACAGTGCAAAGCTTTAGGGCAAATTACCTTTCAGCCACTTCCTCCCCGTCAGTAATTTAAGGCTAGTTAGCCATTCCATTCCTCCCCTCAACTCAGGATTAGTATTATGCTAGGCTCACATATCACTCAAAGCTATGATTATTTAACCATAGTTGACCAAATTAAGAGTTAGCTAGTTACTTTCCAGTACTTTGTGGTGTATGAAATAAGCATGTTGCCCCATTCTAATATTTATCTACATTATCTTTTACTGTTGCCTATGAAAATGTGCTTGTTTAGCTCTTTTTGTTTACAAGAATCTTATACGTATGCTAACTTTTCTTAAATTAGTTAACCAGGAATAGGTATATAAGCTAATACTGTATATACCTAGTGAAGTGCACCAGGTTTGATCAGCTGCAGGCAATACACATTGCCTGCTCAAGGAAATCAAAGATACCTGGGAACAAATGAGCCAAATATTAGTTATGGACCTGGAGGATCAAAGTTCACGTCTACCCTGTCATATAATCTTCTTGGGATACTTAGGGCTGCTCTTTTCCTCTCAGCCCAGCCTACCTCATGTAGTTGTATAGAAAACTTGGAGATAATGCTCCTTTGAACTCTTGGAGAATATTGATTAATATAATAAATCTAATTAGTTCTCCTACTTTACCAGAGTCAGTTTGGTAAAGTGGCTATGGCATCAGGCTAGAAAGAGGGAGAATGGTAATTCTAGTCCTGTTTTAGGGACAAAGGTAGCTGGGTAGCCTTGGGCCAGTTATTTTCTCTTAGCCCTAGGGAAAGAGGCAATGGCAAACCACTTCTGAAAAATCTTGCCAAGAAAACTGCAAGGACTCATTCACGGAGTCTGTGAGAATTGGACACAATTGAATAGAAGAGAAAATGGCTTTATCATATTCAAAATGCTTAGTATAGTTCTGCTTTCCGGTATACTGAGGCTCTTGTGCATATTATCATATAGCCTGCGTTCATGGGTAATACAACAAAAGGCAAGGAAAGTGAAATATGGCCCATTTTGTCCTTCTGTACATATTAATTCAGCCAAGATATTTGTGTGCGACTTTGTGAGCTTTATACAGATAGTTCTCAACTTACAAGAGTTTGTTTAGTGACTGCTCGAAGCTACAATGGCACTGAAAAAATAACTTACGATTGTTTTTCACATTTATGACCATTGCAGCATCTCCATGGTTACATGATCAAAATTCAGATGCTTGGCAACTGACTTGTATTTATGATGGTTGCAGTATTCCATTGTCATGTGATCATTTTTTGCGACCCTCTGACAAGCAAAGTCAACGGGGAAGTCAGATTCATTCAATAACTATGTTACTAATTTAACTGCAGTGATTTACCTAACAATTGTGGCAATAAAGGTCATAAAATGGGGCAAAACTCTCTTAACAACTCTCATGCTCAGCAACAGAAATTTTGGGCTCCATTGTGGTTGTAAAAGTTAAGAACTACCTCTATTGTAAGTTTGTCCACATACCAATGTAGCAAACTTTGTACATTGCAATGTTGTTTTGCAAATCACTCTTGCCGTTTATTTGCATAACAATTAAGATAAAAATACTGTAGTGTGCTCTCTGTCCCTAATCTAAATCTGCTGGTAAGGGGGGGAATAGAAGTTGTACACTACAATTTTCCATAAATTATTACCAAAGTGACATTTTCCTAAGTTACTGATAATATATGTCACTGGCTTATCTCCCTCCCCTCTTTGCCCAATCCTGATGTTGTCTTCCAGGAATCCTACTACACCTAAAATACCCACAATAGTGGAACAACTGCCTGAAATTGTGACCAAGCCATCTCCAGTTCTGGTTCTTTACATTTCCCCTTAAGAAAAATATAAAGATGGCAAAAACTTCCAACATTTTAAACCTCCATGTCTATCTTTAATACCAGGAAGTTAAGAGAACTTCAGTGGCACAGTGGTTGGAGTGCAGTACTGCAAGCTACTTCTGCTGCAGCCAGCTGCCTGCAATTTGGCAGATCAAATCTCACTAGGCTCAAGGTTGACTCAGCCTTCCATCCTTCTGAGGTGGGTAAAATGAGGACCCAGATTGTCGGGGGCAATATGCTGACTCTGTAAACTGCTTAGAGGTGGCTGTAAAGCACTATAAAGTGGTATATAAGTCTAAGTGCTATTGCCAAGTTGCTGTATAATTCCTGGTCCCATAATCTTTGGTCATTTTTGAGACAGTTAACAAACTGAAGCAACATGGATTTCTCTACCCTTCCATCTGTAACACTCAAATATTTATTCACAATAAAATCCTTTTTGGCACTTATGTGATAATCCTAAAGAACCTTTGGCTCCTGAAGAGCTACCAGATGGCAATGTAACCACCTACATCTTGGGGTTTTGGGGGGGAAGTGGGGTGAGCAGGAAAATTCTGTAATTATTTTGGAACTAAAGCACTTGTAATCAGAATCCCAATCCATATAATACAAGAGATATCGTTTATATACAATCTAAAGCCAAGCATTCAAATTTCAGGAAATCTTAAGCGCTGTATGTTCCCAGGTGTAGGATTTTGGTTACAGAGTTGACATACCTATTTTTTGTTGAACTTGTAGCACACCTTTTGTCCAACAATTCAAGCCTGCATAGATTCCTTTTCCAAATTTTCCCCACTTCAATTCTGTGTAATAGACTAAGATAAGAGAGAGTTCCTGGCCCAAAGTCACCCACTGAATTTTCATGATGGTGGACTTGAATTTGAATTTTCTATGTCCTAGTGCAACATTTTAAACTACTATGCTTAACTGTTCATAAATTGTTCCAAGACTGGTGCACCTCAAGCCACTTCAGTGTTTACTGGCACCAGCTAAAGAAGTCAACTCTAAACATAGAAAGGGAAATATTTTAATTAATATCCACATTAAGAATTAATGTATTCAATTTGTTCATTTTTCCTGTGAATTCACAGAGCAAGAAGAGACACAGTAAATTTATTTTGGTTCTTCATTTATATTAAAAAAATTAATCAGCTGATTCTTACACAGCTAAGCCTTGTTTTATAAATATAATACAACCATAATAAATTGTAAGTATTAGTCTCACATATCCTCTGCATAACATTTCATAGCTGTGTAGCACAGCTTGTGACAAAGGCATCTTAAATAAACTGAGGGAAAAGTGCCTGATTTATAATGTTTTTATAAAAGTAGAACGTAACACATCATTTTATTATAGATTTAGCTGAGTAAGCTTTATTTACAAAAAAATAATAATTTAAATGCTTGGGGTTGCATTTAGTGGGCTTTAGTTTTAAGAAACTGACCTATACAACAAAAGAGCATCTAGAATGATATATTTGCCTCATTCAGCATAGACAGTTTTGCAAATGGATTATATTCCTTTCCATTCAAATGATTAATATAATTGCTTACCTTCATTAACAGAAATGTTAGTGAAAAATCAACCTTTCCCAAAGATGTTCCAATAATACATATTATAGGACCAGATTATACATTTGAATTGAGTTAGAGATATTGGCTCTTTAGTAGAATTTCCATTAATTTTCTTCTCTCAAATAAAGCATCTTCTGTATTGGCTTTTTACATGATCATAGAGAGCAAAATATATGCAATAACCAAGTAACAGCATTGCCTGCTTGAAATTATATTTTGAACTTCTTAAACTTCTGGAAAGAATTGGTCATTTTCAAAAGTCTTGCCCCACAGTTCATGTAGAAAAGTATGATAGCACTCAAGAGCTTTTGGAGAACATATAAGAGCAGAAGAGCATTGGTAGAACCTTGATCACATATTACACAATTGTAATATATACATATATACATCAAACTATAAACTTCTAGAATAAAGCACTGCTTAAAATGTAAAACAGACAACTATATTTTAGTTAAATCTGTCGAGAATATATCTTTCTCAACTTTTCCATTAAAAAAAAAACCCAAAAGGTGAAACAGGAAGATATTTAGTGCTACCTATGACAACAAAAAAATAAATTTCTCTTCTAAAAAGGAATAATGTGTCAACTTGCTTTATATGAACAAATCAGGATAATTTCTAAATGAAGATACATTTGATAAGCTGCAGAGAAAAAGCCTTTGAGTTGCCTTAATAATACTAAAACAATGGATCTTGATACTAGAATTTCTAGCCATGGGTAATAGGACCAAAGTAGATGATAAAATTAGAGTTGCATTGAACATAGTTTTTTTTTAAATGCAAATCACATCCGCTAGAAGAAAAATCTGATTATTACTGGGGCTAAATTAATTTGGCCTTTTTTTCTCCTCCTATAAGCCCTAGAACAAAAGTAGGTGAAATTTTCAGTAGGGATTCCTCTTTCAAAGCAAATACTAGCTTCAACAAATGAGTTTTCTCCAATGAAAACATTTTGCTTCTCATGTAAGACTATTTTTCCCACAAAAGATTAAATTTCTGAGCTGCTAGGACCTGCGGATAATATAACTGTAAAAGAATCCACAAATAAATAATAGCAACTATTTATATATGTATTACTAAAAACACCATGCTATTTAGATTTATTAGAATGTATAATTACAAAAGAACAAACTCTTAATCACTTTTTAACATAGCAATACAGCATTTATTATGCTTTTTCCTAACAATTCCCAGTTCCTGCTTCCAGAAATTGTTCCATGTATGAAGGTAATATACACAACAGCAAACATTTTCAAGTTGGTTGCCAAGGATTCAAAGTCCTTCATCATTATATACTGGAGAAACAGGCTTTACAATGCTTTGTGGATTAGGTTCCACTAGGGGGCGCCAAGTCACTTCCCCAGACAGCAGCAGGTCTTCTCCTGACATAGCATCCAGATGCTGCACCTGATAATCACAGCAAAATAGTGCAAGTCACTTACAGATTTGTTGGAAGGATGATTTCTTCCTTCAGGATACTGATGGAAGATGGGGCCATTATTTGTTTAATGAGTGCTCCAGAAAGAAAAAAATAGGTTCTCTTTGTTATTAAGAATATTCAAATGCAATTTATGTCAATGTGGTTGCTCTACTGAAATTCTTAGTTTTGTCATCATAGTACAATTCCAGAAGGTGTCTCGATTATCAGTAGGAGCTCTAAGGGTAGAACTCTGAAAACCCCATTGTAAAAGTGTTTTTTTACACTTTTTGAATCCTTCCCCAGAATACAGGGATTCCAGTCTCATTATTTCTTTATTTACTAGTTTAATGTACATCCAGTCTTTCTATCAACAAATAGCATACAAATGGCTTGCTATATGCTAAATAAATACAAAATGGCTAATAATATAATATTAAAACAACCAACTATGTACATTAACCATAATTAAAACACAATTGGAAATGTATTATTAAAATAGCACCCATTCAGCTTCAAAGGTGCTTCACAACATATGGGAATATGAACACCTAAGTTTCATTAAAGCAGCTACATTTCCTTCAAAGACTACAGAAGCAAGCTCCTCAAAGTAGCTGTGCAATACTGGAAACAGATGTAAATGTCTTGATAAACTGCAGATGGGGGTTGCTGAGAAACACCAAGTTCCTAAATAGCCTTTCCCAATTAATAGAATTCCATTGATTTACACATTAAATAGGTGCTTGAATAAAAACTTTTCTGCCTGCCAGAATACAACAGAAAGGCAGATAATGTGATTTCCTTTGGGGGTGAGAAGTCAAGAACTTTAGATAGGGAAAAACTGATTTTTGAAAATTGCTGTAAGAAGCAGAATGGCCAGAATCAAGGCATGTATTTTGGAGACACAATATTACGGAAAACCCTGAAGTTTAATTACCAAAATGAAAATCAAGACAACTTAGCTTCTCACCGATCATGATTTTTTTTCCTCACAAAATAGTAAAGGAACCCTTATTCTATGGTACTTACCTGCTTGCGCACATATTCTACCATCATTGCCAGCTGCCTAGGATCCTTGCAATGTGTTTCAAACAGATTTCTCCAGATAGCTGCTGCAAGTACATGATCATCTGAGAGTATTCCCTAAAATACATTTTTAAGGAAGATGCTCAGCTTTTCTTTTAAAAGCTGTAATTCATACAGGACAATCCCTTACAGCAAAGAGGCAACATGATTTACCAGAGGCTTACTGTAAAGAAGAAATTACAGATAGAAAAAAAACAGACAAGCAAACAACTTAGCATCATTTAGGCCATGCCCTTTTACTGTTTTGGACCTTTGGTGTGCTGCTGCTAGTGACAATGGGAAATATGCTGTCTCAGATTGGCTAGGGGGAAATTGGACAAGGCTTTCATAAAAGCCTCCAGCAACTCTGTTAAACATCACTGGCCTCTTACAGCAGAAAGTAATTGAGATCTCATTACTTTCCTCTTGTTTTTTAAGGATTTTTTTTTTAATTCTATCTTTGTTATTTTTTAAATAAATAACTCAAGGCAGTGAACAGACCTAATATGCTTTCCTCCTATTTTTGCCCCAGCAACCCTGTGAGATGGGTTGGGCTGACAAGAGAGACTGGCCCTTGTTTGCATGCCTAAGGCAGGACTAGATCTCCTGGTCTCCTGGTTTTTAGTCTGGTGCCTTAACTAGCAGTCCATCTCAATGTTATAGAGGATGAAGGATTTATAATAAACCCATTATTATAGACTTGCCATGCTTGAGATATCTGATTCTGCTTCACTTCCTACCTTCTCCTAGCTATTTTTATACATGACTACTAAATAGAAAGGTTATTACTACTCTGTTCATTTTCAGCTCTGTAGGGGAGACCAGCAATGGGTCTTCTTCTGTCACAATGTGTACTATTTCCCAGAAGAAGTTGCAAATCAGTCCGTTTGAATAAGATAAATCCTAGTCAAAACTATTGTTCTTTACATGTACTACAATCACTTAATTATTTGGAGATTTAGGATTACTTGTAGCTTTTGAACTGTCTTCAAGGGTAGCGCCATATAAAATTGCATTGCAATAGTCCAAAGAAGAGGAGACTAAAATATGGATAACTATAGGAATTTTCTTAAAACCTATTCGGTAAAGCTGGACAATCCCCAAGAATGGATCCCTGAACCCAAAGCTCATTTGTTTTACTATGGTCAAGTTTACCCCTCTAGAGCCTAACAACCTCTAAGCACTTCAACAGAAGCCCTTATTTGCTTTACTAAACAGAATAAAGATTATTTTAAAAATATTTAAAAGGAAAACAATAAAAAGGATACTAGGAGATTACAGTTTCTGTAGATAACAATATCGTTTTTAAATACATTAGATTTTGACTACATAAAATAATATTGTGTGCTAACAGCTATAGACAGGACTGCAGAATGTGCAATCAATCTGTGGTTAGAAACAAGTATAACACAAGGGGATCCAGGTAGCAGATTCAACATTATGATGGGTTATTCAGGAGCATGTATTAAAACAAGTACAATTCAATAGAGAGCAAAAAAGTTAAATTTCAACAGAATATAGACTCCTATGAACAATTTGGTATCAGGTTCCCAAAGAGATGCTATAGATAAGAGACAGAGTGAGGTCCTCTTCACTGAATGTTCAAGTAGACATAGACAGGCATCCATCAGGGATATTTTATTTTGGATTTCTCTAATACAAGGATTGAGTTTTATGTCCTAGATGGCTTTTTCAACATTGTTATCTATGATCGTTTTCTAGTGGCCACAGCACATTCTCTTAGCTTCATTTACCTATCACCAATAGCAGAAATATTAGGAAACATTAACAAATATTCAGGGCATTTGACCACACAATGAGTCTAACTCATGTTAATACCAGTATTTTATTTCTGTTCTCTGCATGTTCAACTTTAATTTAACTGTTACCATTACCTCATCATATCCAAAAATAGATGCATAGAAAACTTCTGTCAAGGTTCTCAGACTTCTTCTTAGGATAAGAGAATTAACCTGAAAAATAAAACCAATGTGTTCTCTGAAGTAGGACTGGTATTAGAGGCAAAAACAGCATAAGAAAACCAAAATCTATTGCCTACATGCCAATAAATAAAAAGATGAGTCTTAAACTGAGAAGGGGGAGTATACCCTGGATAACAACAGCACAATTTTAAGAGGGCTATCCTCATATGGAGAAACTCTATGGCTAACTCTAGAGACACAGTACTTCATTAAAGAAAATAAACTTAGAGAGGACTCTGAACAATCTGTCTCAATCCTATCTTCCCAGAACTACACCAATCTCAACATCTAGCTTTCAACAATAATTACATCTTAAATTACAATCCTGTCTCAAATGTTATGAATAGTGGAAGACTTATAATTACTGATAACTATATCTTATTCTCCTGCAAAATAAGCCCTGCACAGATCTGTGAAGATCAGAACTTGGACAGGAATTACTTTCCTATTGGCTTTTGATCAAAATAAATGAGGAATCTTTGGAAAAAAACAGGCAATCATTCTAGAAGCTCAGAAGTTTTCTAAAGGCTTCAGATTAAGGACTGGGCTCTAAATCCCACAAAAATATAAATTAAGCACAGATGCATTAAAGGCCACTGAAATCTATGGCTCAAGATTACTTTCAGAAGGTATACAGCGCAATTTTAGATACAACTAAACCCAAATGAGTCCAACAGTGTTTAACTTCCAGATAAATATGCATAGCTTACAGCTTTAAAATTGTTCCCAGATTGTCAGAACTAAGGAGTTAAAAGATACACATTCAAAATGTGCTAAGATTCTTAGTTTTATATATAACATAGGAAAGCTATCTTTGAAAAGATCCCTTCACTGTATTCAAAGATAACATTTAAACTATGACTAATACTTACAGGAACAAACACTAGGTGTACATGCTTTCTGTTTTATATACAGCATAGCCCCAAGATGACTTTATTTCAGAGTAACATTCTGATGCAAATCATGATTAGCTCAATTATGATTAGAACAAGTAAGGTTCAAATCCATATATGAAAATGGTCTATTTCAAAATAATCATAATTGGAAGTAATCACAGCCATTTGGATATTATGCAAAATTATAGTTAATCAACAACAAAAGCAAAATGTCTTTTTATAGCCAAAGGGAAGAAAGGAAGGGAAATCACATACACCTAAGGCCCCTTTCATTTCTCATTACAATCAGCAATTGGTTATACAGCAATGACTAATTTGAACATTTCAGTGTTTTCATCCAACATATTATAAAGAGATAAATATACTTGATTGCTAATTATCCTTCTTTTCTCCCAATCCATTTATTATTAATTTCTGCCGCATTTCTTGTTATTTTTATATATGTGGATTTCTGGACTGTGTTTTTTTTAAATGGACATTTTAATTATCCATAAAAGATGGCATATATGTTACAGGATTTTAACTTTTCCCACATCTTTCAAAAGTAGAGGAAGAGAATTTTGCTTCTTCAAGGGTTTCTTTTACACAAGGCATGCCTGCCACAAAACAGTTAATAGTTAAATATTTTCTTGCCAATATTTTAAGAGTGCAGAAGGTTCCAAATTGCTGGTAAAACAAACAATGCCAGACTGTGAAAACTCCTGGCTGCCATGCTCCTTGATATTAACAAGAGTTTCTTTATTGCTGTAACCTTTCTGAAGTGAATAAAAATTATTTCTTTGCCCTAGTTCTGCCCTCAAGTAAAGGGAAAAAAGTGAACCACAAAATGTTACAGAGAGTAAGTTGACCAGACTCCTGGAGAATTCCAGTCTTCAATATTTATTTATATATTATTATATAAATATATATTATTATATAAATAGATTGCTCCTCAGTTGTAACAGCCAAATGGTTCATCAATACCACCAGTACTGTCTTTGCGAATTCTAAGAAGTTTGCGCATTTTTAATGACAGATACATACAAGGGATACTTTATGGCAAAGTTTTCATCCAATGTCTTCTAGAATCAGGCAAATATTTTTCTTTCTAATATTAGGGAGAGGGGGCTACTTATTAATTGACACAACTTGAAACATTATTGGGAGATAGCCAGTCTTAAAGGTTTTTTATGGATTTCTAACCTTGTACATTTAGAACATAATACAGTACTTTTTATTTCAATGCAGGAGAGATTGAGAAGAAAGAATCTGCTTCTATAAATCAATGGATTAGCAAGATTCTCAATGAGACAAACTGAAAATTATATTTGTTTTCCTGAGGGAAAGTTTTAATAAGTTGTGAGGTCTTGCATAAAAAACTGAATTAATTGTATCGTTATACCATAATGTATGCTGAAGTGAACTGTATGCATTTCAAAATAGGCACTGCCACCCTGCATTTCATAAACAAGGACAGTATCAGAGCAATGCTGAAGAGAAGGATATAAAATTGGTATGGATCACTTTGACCTCAATTGGGTATTGACATTACCCTAAGACAAACAAAATACAGAAGTACGCATCAGCTAAAGAAAGAAATATAAAGCAATATTCTTTTAACAACAGAGACAGAAGACAATTTAGAATTAAGAAACAAAAAAGCATTACTTTTACCAAACTTCAAAATCAAGTGGTGACTATTACTGTTTTGGGGTATAGCATATATCTGGAATAAAATCTAGTCAGAGATGGGTACCAGGGTGGTCTTTCAATAGACTTTAGTCCTGTTTATATCTTGGTGAACAGATCAGAATATTAGTATTTGAAACTGGACTGTAGGAAAAAGTTAGGGTTCATGCTGTTCTACTGTACTGCTTACCTTTCTGCTTATTAGCATGTCTACTGAAACCTCTACCTGAACACCTGTCTTATCCTGGGGCTATTTTTAGATTCTTCTGTTGTCAGTGCTAGGAGCTTTCAGTTCCCGTGTCTTTAGAGTGGAGTCTGGAATGGTTCAGGAATTCACAACATCCATGGGTTTGTCTTAAATGTCTAGTCTTTACTTTGAAATAGATGGTTTGTAATTTGAAAGTGGACATCATGGTCCACTCCTTGGTCATAGCCAGACCACAGTCTGGTGAGTTTATGGTTCATTGGCATGGTAACATTGCAACTGATCCATACCAAATCTGTTGCTCTAAGGGATTTTCTCAGCAATTTTACAATCTCAGCAACTGGTCAGTCTCTGGAATTCAGAGAAAAGGATATTCAAAGTGATTACCCTGAAATAACTTCTTTCCACATCTTGAGCCTGGGACACCCTTAACACCCTGGGACATTGAAAAATTCCAGAAGGAAAACCAGCAGAAACACAACCTATATAGTGCCAATGGCAATAAGATGAGGAGTGAATATTTTATTTATGGGACTTTTAGACTTCAGTTGTATCCTACTCCAAATTGTATCCTATTCAAACAACTATTCAAACAACATACAAAATAAAACTTTTAAAATAAAAAAATAACAACAATGTATCTTGATACAACATTCAAAGTGTTACATCCCTTTCAGAATGACAATCTGTTCCCCAAAGTCCTCTGAAGTAACTATATTTAAACAAATGTTCAAAAGACTATGAGCAATGAGTTCAATCTTGCCTCTGAGGAGAAGAGCTCTTATAGAAAATGCTTACCTCTATGTTCCTCTCATCAAATACAGACCATCTGAAAACTATGTCAGAATACAGTGAGTGGGCAAATTCTAACTGGAATAGGCAGTCCTGAAGATAAAATTCAATGTTTCACAGGGAGAAAGACATTGGGATACCTTATCCTAAAAAACATCTCACTAGAGATGCTCAACCTTCATTTTTAGGAAAGTTTTTGTGGAAGATAGCTCACAGACAATCTTGGATGAAAGGGATTATCTTGGTTCCTATACTTGGGTTTCAATTCAGTTATCAATTCTAATTCAATTTATAGATTCTTTTTCATTATATACATTGTTACTTTAGACTTTTGTTACTTCGGGCATCTATGAAATTCAGAATATATTAATTGTAACTACTACAATTAGACAAGGACATCTTCTGGCAAATCAGGAAAAGAAAAGAAAGGAGTGGAAGTTTTATTTTAGTTACTTAACAGCCAGATTCTTTCAGATTTACTACTGCAGTATGAAGTAACTTTAGCAAACTTCAGTCAAATCAAGTCATAATGAGGGAAGGTAAGAGGGCTACCAAGCATAAATAGCTTTACCTAACATGAAACAAAGACTTCATTGTACTCCATTTGCAGAATCAATACATGAATTCAAGAAACACTTCAATGTGTTTCTGGAAAAGGAGGGGCCTGAGTGGTCTGGAGGAAAAGCAGGAAGGTAGGATTAAGATAAATTAAAATGTGGTTGGCATATTGAGCTGGATGGCCCCTTCCTGCTCCTATCATCTTGTACAATTTTTAAGGCAGACTCAGCTACAAATCAGGATTTTATACTGAACAAACAAGTCTTAGATGTAGTGGGATTACAGTGTCCCTTCAACCCGAAAGCAACGTTTTGTTTAAATAAATGTTTATTTGTCACAAGGAATACTAATTTCAAAATCTGATTTGCACATATTTTCCACAAGATTTAAGCTTTTCTTGAAATTTTTAAAGAAACGAAGGTCGGGAATAAGTAAATATTAACAATAGTTTATATATCTCAGCAACTTGTAGGTTTGCTTCTTTCTGTTTGATATTGCAAATCAATTTATATAGAGATATTATTCAAAATTTGTTTTGATTGCACAATTTTAGATGGCTCTTCATGTGAGTTTAGATTAGCATTCAGGAGAGTAATATTATTGAAAGTTGGTGAATTGCACATGTTATCCCCTGGAAAAGCAAGAAAAAGGGACAAGAGAAAAAGATCCATTACTTAAATCCAAGGTTTCATTTACTGCTGAAACAGTAAGAAAAGGAATTAACAAGTAAGAATGCTAACGATAAAGGCTTTCCTATTTTTTATTGTGTGTAGAAAGTATCAAGTCAAGGCTTCTCGAGGAAGGATGGCAGACTACAAGATAATGCCATAGTGTTAGTACTTATTGTGAGAAGACAGAGTATGTTATGTAATTAATTATCGACTCTAAAAAACATACTTTGCAAGTTCAGGTGCTTTTTCAGAAAAAAACAGCCGTTAGTAAAAATAAGCAAAAGTAAGAGAGAATGTATCCCAAGATCAGGAGAAGGAGCAATGATATCAAATGCAGTTTTTCCTATTGGTTTATTGGTTTCCAGTTACAGCAGGGGTATCAAACTCATGGCCCGCGGCCAGGATGCATTATGTGCTGGCCCCACCCCCACCCAGTTTAGCAAAGGGGAGGAAAGTCCCGATATGTCACGTGACGACACTGTGACAACACAAGTTTGACAGCCCTGAATTACAGCATTCACTTCATAGGCTTCCAAACAACAAAAGCAGGGGGGGGGGATTTCTCTAATTGTAAGAATAACTCCTTATATGATAAGAGTGGGCAATGGTATGAACTCAAAAGAGGAGACTACAATAGTACCAAAACTATTGCTGAAAGAAAGAAATACATTAAAAATAACCACGCCATGCCTGTTTTGTATAAATCTGAGAATACAAAGCAAGTAACTACAGTACCATTTACTTTCTAAAGTAAAGGTAAACAGCTTTCAGAACTATAAACCATTTAAATGCTGAGAGTCCATGCTACAAGTTATAACATAAAGGCAATAATGGGAATACAATGAAAAGCAATGGCCTGGAAAATGCTCCCATTTGGTATCCGTTGTATCCATTTGGTATCCATTTGGTATTTCATTGAGAAAAACCAGCAGGATCTACTTAAAGAGAATTCACTGACAGGTTTTTACCAAAATGCTCAGTTCCAGAACAGGGAATGAACAACTTTGTAGAACTGGCACTTCACATTAGAAGAGGGGAGAGTTGCTATAGATTCACAATGATTCAAAGTAGGCAGAACTGCATCACTTACTTGAATAAGGCCATTTAAAACTATGCTGGTTTTTGTCTTTTTTTTAATTATGTGAAGTGAGCATTAGAGCTGATGGTATCACTTTTCTCCCTGCTTCAACATGGTAGCAAAACATGCTGTCAATTTTCAAAGTTTGAGGGCTGCAGAACATAAGTAAAGGGCCAAGTATAAATCTGATACCATTGTTTGACTACTTTGCTTTATAACAAAAATGTCGAGAGAATCAATGGCTCCTGAAACTTTAGCTGTGGCCTTCACAAGAGTTTTAACTTTTGTAACGAATTATAATTTTTATCGACTGAAGAATTGACATGATTGGAAAGTAACTATATTCGTGTTAACTAAAGTTAATAGTAAATTAAATCAAATGTAAAGATAAATTAAATGAAACTAACTTAATTTTTTGTTCAGGCTGATTCCCTAGCTTTTTGAGTGTAGCTTTCAACCCATCACTTAAAGGCCAAATGTGATCCTTGTTTCAGAAAAAAAAAACCACTCCACTGTTGTACACCACTACTCTAAAATATTTCTAACTTTCATATTTCTCAGAATATGAGCAAATTTACAGCTTACTATGAAGTCCTCTGTTTCATATTTATATACAAATAGAACCTGTAGCAATATATAGACAATTATACCTTGCTTAATGGTAGTTAGAACATAAGTTGTTTGTAGCATTCTACCTGCAACAAATGACTACGCCACAAAATCTTTAATTAAACACAACTTTTTGTTTAAATCAAAATGTAACATTATGACCACCAACTTGTAACAAGATGGGATGATACGAAGATCATTTAATATTCTGATTCTCAAGTTGACTTCCACTATATATCCCCATTTGGATGGAATATAAAAATCATTTAAAACTGTAATGCAACTCAAAAAAGAGAAATATAGAAACTGAGGGCATAAGCAAAATATTCAAGTATACGCAGATAATAAAATAGGATATGATTACCCATACACTTACCTTATTGAGTCACATTTATCAAAATGATGATGGTGGTGATTGAGATGAATATTGTTTTTCAAGCAGCAGTTTACATATTTACATTTTACAAAAATAAAGCCCATGTTTTAGCTGAAACTCACAAAACTGAATAGCTGGCAGTTTTGACAACTATGTCTTTAAATTGCACGACCAGAATGAAATTAAGTTTTTTTTTAAAAAAAATGATACCTAATGTTACAATCAACACTTTAAATCACAATAACAAATAAATTTTTATGCTTTTTTAAAAGTTTGGTAGAAAAATCAGAAGTGGAAAAATTAGATAAACAATGTTTAGCCACAAAACTAGGCACACCTGGTACATAACCAACAAAATTAACTTCAAGTTTTAGGGGCAGCAGAATAAAATTTATATATGAAACCTGCCAGCACCAGTAGAATTGCTGAGGCCAAAGACTTTCATTTTGTTTTTACAGCTGTGTCAAGTTTTGGTTACCTCTTGCCAACAATGAAAAGTGCTGAAAGAACTCAGGTTAAAGGGTCCCAACATTTTGCAGTTGAGATTCAAATTGCAACAATTTTAGCAGCCAGTCTATGAATTAATACACTGTTTAAAACTAGGAAAACATAAGTTGGAAGTGAAAATGCAGTAGGCTGTCTTGATTCAAATCATGATGTTCTCACATTGACAACATCAAATAGCAAGTTGTAAAACTAAAGAAAGTGGCCATATCTCAATCTACAATCATATATCATTTCTCCATTACTTACTGTAATTTCCTTATCATATTTAGAGACTGCCCATTTCTCTTATAAAGCGACTCTATGTATACACTAGTTATGTGTTACCACAACATGCAATTTGTTGTGGCAGTTTACTTGCTTTTCCAAATTACTTTGTTTTTATTTTCTTCAGCAATATTATTTTTTAAAATTATTCCAAAGTTTGCATTTAAAGAAAGCTTCCTTGAACAATTATATGTAGTTAGACCTTATGTTTCTTTATGGCATTTATATTGTTAGAACTAGTAACTATGGTTGTATAGTAATCAATTTATACTGCAAAGTACATACATGAAATAAATGTAGTATCTGGAAATCAAACATTTCTATACTTCGGCTTAGGAAGTTTGTAGACGGTACTTTCTCTTTAAATTTTTACTGTTTATGCATCTTTAAATTTTACTGTTTAAGAGAGATTTACTCTCTCTGCTAGAAATCTTGATTAAACAAAGTGAATTGTTCTGAATTAAACAGCAAGTCTTTTTAAAACTAATACTATAAGTTGAGTTACTGAGATTTTTTTAAAAAATTCAGGAAATACTAATATGATTTGTATTGGGAGGTAATTTGGGCTGAGAAAGAATGACTGGCCCAAGGTCACTCAGCTATACATTATTATTGTTGTTACTGTTCATAGTACTATTAAGTAAAGTAGTATTTATTAAATTATTTTCATATAATATTTGGGATTTCAAGTTTAAAACAATCTGGGATTTTCTACTAGCAACATCTTTCCATTTCTGTGATAATAATGAACACAGCATTGTGCCACAACTGCTGTCGGGAGCTGGGGAGGGGAAACACATATAGAAAATGGTAAGGACTTGAACTAAGATGATACAATTTGCCAGTCTATTATTCATACTACACAGTAGCTTCCAATTTTTCCTCATATACTTCCCCAATATATGTGTATTGTGAACAAAGAAGATACTTAAGTGATCAGTGAATCCATATCAAGAAATACTCACTCCCATAACCTTCCCACGTTGCTCAGCATCTTCCCACATAGCATATACAATATAGTAACACATGTATTTTCCTGTTCTGCCCTCTTGCTTCATTCGTACTAGGCACATCCTAGAGGAAAGCAAATCATTTTTTTAAATATAGACACATACAAAAATGGAAAATATATTGAAAATAAAATAAACCAAAAATGAAACAAATTTCAAGAGACTGGTTAAAAATTCTGATGTTAAGAGTATAGTATACAGTAAAATCACTTTGGGATATAAAATAACACAACTTCTGGTAGAGCATTCCACAGAACATAGCCACGGTATTCCACAGATAACAGGAAACTGGCTGATTAATTTATATTATCTCTTTTAGCTGCCTTCCAGCTATAGGGCTGCAATATTAATAAATTTTCAAAAGTCAGCAAAGGAAATCCATTCAGAATCTCACTTTTAAACACATGTACTTGAAATTTTAATTGTTTTCAACTAATGTTTAATCCCAGGCAAATATGTTAAGACTGAGCCACAGATTTAATTCATTAGAATCAATATTCAACTAAACATGGAAATCAGGCTATTGTCAGAGTTCCTTGAAATATGGCTTCCAAGGCTGACAGCTATCTCCTAAAATGAAAACATGTAAGGTTATTATATGCCTTTTGGTACAAAACTGGAACAGTATTAATTATTCCAAATAAAGAATCAACTCCTTTGAAAAAGAACAAATCCAATGTATGTATCAAGGAATTTCAATTTCTGTGCCAAAACAATGTCACTCTTGAAGCTGACAATTCAGTGTATTAAAAGAAGTACTGGTTTTGCATGCGTTACTCTAAATTTGAGATTTAAACAATATTTTGAAAATACTGTGTGGGTGCTAAAATATACAATATAGATACAATTAAACTAGCATGAACCACAGGTAAGAAATACAATTCTAATGTATAAGAAATAGCTATTTTGTTTCTTTTGGTCTAGTTTTTTATAAATTTTCAGAGATTGACAAAATAAAAATGCTCCTCCTAGAGACAAGAGTTAATGCTAGAGTTTGTGTTAGAAAATATCAAATGGCACCATTTTAAAGTTGAGACCTGGAGCATTCTCAGTGTATCAGATCTTGCTGATGGAAAAACTTTGAATTGCACATGGAAGCTTACTGGCAACTAAAAAAGGGGTTATATGAGCATACCAACTGAGGTGGCCGTAGGATTATAAATCAGATGCAGTTTCCAAGTATTCTTCAATAGCAGCCCTATATACAGCATACTGTGAATATTTGTGGCAAAAGTACATGAATTTCTAGAACTATCAGATCATGTGATGGGAAAATCAGAGTAAGGTGTTTCGATTAATAAGATGATAATGAAGTGTGAGGTTGGGAGCAACAGAATTCTGGGGATTGACTAACCTTGGATGGATCTAATATTTGTACTTCCAACTAACAACACAAAGCTGCTAGAGAATCAGTAAATTCTTGCTGGCTTGTTAAGGTCTTCAAAATGGCAGACTTCCACTAAACGCTTTTTGCTGCTGATCCAGGATGGATGTACTTGTTGTGGAATGTTCTCTCACACCAAGATCTATTTCCTCATGATAACAAGCAAGCACATTTCACTTCCTGGCATCTCCCTCCAGCCCACTGCCTTGTTGCAGCCCTTTCTTGGAGAGCAGCTTTCAATTGGAGTACAGTTCTGACACAAGATGTGGCAGTAAAGTAATTACCAGCTAGTTAGAGGGACTGAGGCATACAACTACAGCTACTGTGTCCAATAATCTATCACACCTCCAATTGCCATATTTAAAAAGAGGGGATTCAACTAAGAGTTTGAACACAGTATCTATCAGGAAGTCTTTAAAATAGCTCCCTGCTGCATAATCCTGAGAAAATAAAGATCTGCTTTTAAACACCTGTAAATTGGTGACCCTACGCAGTCCTGACACACATTTCTGGAAGCAAAAGACAAAGCCTTGCATAGTTCTAATTTAAAAAAATCACAAGCTAATACAATTAACATTGGCTGAAATAAAAATCTACACTAATTCCCAACATGCCTTTAACCCAATGCTTGAAAAGTTGCAATGAATTTAGATGCATTGTGCTGTCACACAGCAATTTAGCAACACTCTGAATGAGGTCATGGAAACTGGAATGAGTCTCCCATTTACAGTAACTGCCACTTGAGATTAAAATGACAGATTTTCTAGCCAGATCAACACAGCTGTAAAACATATTTTTTACTATACGGCTACATTTAAACAGTTAATAATTTTATAAGTTTTTGAAATTTTCTTTACCCACATTAATTTCTTAAGTGAAGGTTCTGCCGCATTATCAGAGTTTAGAAACCAGACTATACTTGCTTTGATATCCATTTTTCCAAATTCATGTTTCATAATTTACACAGCTTCTCAATTCATAAACAAAGATTTTAGATAGATCTCATGCTCTAGTGCTGACTTCTCTCCTCATACCTGACAAATCAATCATTGCTACATATGTCAATGTATTTTCTTTCCATACATCAGCCAACCTCTTTCTTCAATGAATTCCAGGCAATCCTGGAACTGAAGGCCTGGGGTAGAGCTAAAGCTAAAGTTGTATACATCGCCCAAAATATTCTGATTCTGATAAATATAATATTGTATCACATAATAGGAAATGCTGACTTTTCTTCCTAAAACAAGTACAGATTTTTAATTCACATATTCATTCTTACACTTCCTTCATTATGATAAGGATATCACTGCTGCTTATTTTAACCTATCATCTGTTTTTAACTCATTTTCAAAAAGGTAGTTGTTTGACAAAATAAATTGCAGTGACTATTTGTTTGATGTTGCCCACCTTCAAAAATATTAAAATAGTCAAGCCATTAATTTTAGAATAAGGTTCATACTAATGTTTACTAACTTGAGAACTGGTACTGCTAATCTATGTGAGAGGTAATTCTAAGTAAACTACAGAATTGCATTTATACTTTATGAAAACAGAAAAAAATAGGAACATTCTTTTTAAAAGTCACAACAGTTTATTTATCATAGCATATTCCAATTAAGGTTTTCATTAAATGTATTTTAAAATAAACATAACAATTTTTTTCAGAAGTACTTACCACAAAAAACTTTGATTGTAAAACAATGAAATGTATTGTTAAAATTAATTTGACAATATTTTTACAAAATAATTTACATCTAATGTAATCAATTTCTAAAAAGGCAAACAAATGGAAAACAATTATTCCTTTATATCATTATTCTATCATTCTGACCTTCTCAAGCACCTAACTTTAGATAAAAAAAAAGTTTTTCCTAGTTATTTTTCTTGGATGATTATTTAACTAACGAAGGAAAAATCACTTTGAGGTGTTAAATATTCCACATGAAACAAACTTGGCACCCATGTAACCTGTAGTTAGATTTTAGAGGTGAAAATGTAAATGTTAGTGCTATAATTTGTTAAAGGCTTCTGACAACTAGTAAGTCAAGTTACCACAAATTCTCACAATTCAAAGAACTTCTACGTAAATGTGAGCTTTTCCTAAAAACAGATAAATTAATGACCTTTCCATTCAGGCTGACGAAGCTTTTAAAAGAATGAAGGTTTTAAACTAGTAGAGTGAAGGAACTATTAGAAGTAGCATGTTGAAGTTTTTTTTTTAATCTGTCAGAATTTAACATGGTTTAGCTGAGTGACAAATTTCTCCTTTCCTTGATACAAAAAACTGTAGTAAATGTAACTTTGAAGAGCTTTACTTACCAGACATGAAGCTGTGCTACTAAAAACCAAGAGTTGAAAGTGTCAGGGAGCTGTAATTCTTAAAAATGAATGTGAAAATGAGTGAAAATGTATTTTATACTTACACATTTAAAAACATACATGAGTTGTCTTGCATACACATCTATTGTGAACATACAAGGAGGAAAAAGTCTGCACATATGCATGTGTGTACCTAAGCTAATTCTTTTTCTCCAGTGCTAGATTGACACATAAGCCTATGAAACTTGAGAGAAGCTGGAGGAGATCAGAGCTTTGGAGGAACTGGTGATAATGGGGGTGGTGATGGTGGATAAAATTATCTACATTAACACGGTATTTTAGTGTTTCAGTTAGTAGGGAATATGTTGGACTATGCAATTTGCCTTTTGATAAACTAGTACTTTGTAACAAACCACATGATTGATTTTAAGCAATGCGGTATAAAAACAAAAACAATTTGTGCATATCATGTAATTACCACAAATTACTTAACATAGGAATTCAAAGTCAGCAATCTTTCTAGGCAACATCTTATGAGCTTTCACAATGGTATTAAGTGCTCTGTCCAAAGCCTTTATGAAATCTTAGCCTTCTAAGCAGCTGTGCCAAATCTTTCAGGGGATGCATAATTCCTTTTATGGAATGATGTTTCATTCCTATTGGGGCACATTGCAAAGCACCACTTTGAATGTTGCAGCCCTACACACCAACAACAGCCAAGCCTCCTACAACTGGCCCCAACCCATTGGGTTCACAACCTCTGGTGATCACAGAAAAAGAAGTGTAAGATCTATTACACAGACAATAGCCAGGAAAAGCACCAGGGCCAGACAAGATAACTCCTTCTTGCTTAAAAGTCTGTGCTGACCAACTGGCCCCTATCTTCACCCAAATCTTCAATAGATCACTAGAGATGTGCTATGTTCCTTCTTGCTTCAAATGCTCTACTATCATCCCAGTGCCAAAGAAGCCCTCCATCAAGGAACTGAATGACTACAGACCAGTTGCTCTGACATTTGTAGTTATGAAAATCTTTGAAAGGCTTGTGCTGTCCCACCTGACAACCATCACGGATCTGCTGTTAGATCCCATGCAGTTTGCATACCAAGCAAATAGATCGACAGGTGGTGCTGTTAATATGGCTCTGCATTACATCCTACAGCACCTTGAATCTCCAAATACCTACACAGGGGTCCTCTTTGTAGACTTCAGTTCAGCATTCAATACCATCATTCCAGACACTCTTCTAAGTAAATTAAACCAAGTAGCGGTACCTGAACACACTTGTAAGTGGATCATAAGTTTCCTAACAGACAGGAAGCAGCAGGTGAAGCTAGGCAGAATCACATCTGATACCTGTACAATCAGCACAGGGGTCCCCCAAGGCTGTGTGCTTTCTCCACTTCTCCCTAGATACCAATGATTGTATCTCAAAAGATCCATCTGTTAGAAAACTGAAGTTTACTGATGAGACAACAGTGATTGGTCTCATTCGAGACAACGATGAATCTGCATACAGACAGGAGGTTATACAACTTGCATCGTGGTGTAACTGGAACAATCTAGAACTGAACACACTCAAAACCGTAGAAATGGTAGTAGACTTTAGAAGAAACCCTCTCATACTACCACCTCTTACAATACTAGACAACGTAGTATCAACAGTAGAGACCTTCAAATTTCTAGGTTCTACTATATCACATGACCTAAAATGGACACCTAACATCAAAAACGTCATCAAAAAAGCACAACGAAGAATGTTCTTTCTATGCCAACTCAGAAAGCTCAAAACTGCCCAAGGAGCTACTGATTCAGTTCTACAGAGGAATTATTAAGTCTATCATCTGCACCTCTATAACTGTCTGATTTGGTTCTGCAACCCAACATGACAGACACAGACTGCAGACGATAATTAGGACTGCAGAAAAAACAATTACTACTAACCTGCCTTCAATTGAGGACCTATATATTGCACAAGTCAAAAAGAGGGTTGTGAAAATATTTACAGACCCCTCATATCCTGGACATAAACTGTTTCAACTCCTTTCCTCAAAACAACGCTATAAGCACTGCACACCAGAACAACTAGACATAAGAACAGTTTTTTCCCCGAAGGCCATCACTCTGCTAAACAAATAATTCCCTCAACTCTGTTCAACTATTACAAAGTCTGCACTACTATTCCAGTTAATCTTCTCATCGCTCCTTATCATCCATCCCATCCCACTTATGACTGTATAACTGTAACTTTATTGCTTGTATACTTATGATTTATATTGATCGTTTCCTAGTATGATTTGATTGCTTATTGTACCCTATGACTGTCATTGTGTCGTACCTTATGATTCTTGACTCTTGATGAATGTATCTTTTCTTTTATGTATGCCAAGAGTATTTACACCAAGACAAATTCCTTATGTGTCCAATCACACTTGGCCAATAAAGCATTCTATTCTATTCTATTCTATTATATTCTATTCTATTCTATTCTATTCTATTCTATTCTATTCATCATAGAGGTCTTGTGGGTTTCCTGCAGGGATAAGGTAGTGTATAAGAACATGGTCTGGGATGGTGCTCCCCTTCCAAGACCAGGCAGCACTGTTGTGGGACTTCCCTTAAACCTCTGGGCAATGGTTTTTACAGAAACAGGAAGCTAACTGTCTGACGCCTCCCTGTAGCCCATGTCTGTCTGTCATGGTCCTACACCCTTCTTGCTTTTCCTGCTGAAGCCCAAGTAAACTAACTGAGTAGGAATAGAGGGATAGTTCTGAATTGACTTTGACAACTGCCTATACTTCTGTGCTAACAGAGATAACAGAAATACTATTTCTCTCCCATTTCAAGATTGGAGATGAAAATGATAAGGGTGTGAATAATAATGTCAACTTTGGAATCGTTATTAAAAGATTTTAACACATTACAATTCATAAATGTATAACTTATATAAGTATATAAGTTATGTAACCTATAACCAGTCTTCTATGAAATCTTCATCTGCAAAACCAACCTATCTTCCTCTACCTTTCCCTATCCCATCCCAATATATTTAAATCTTACATCAGTTAAGCTATTCCCTGTATCTGATGAGCAGCAACTCACAAAAATTTATGCCTTATAATAAAATGTGTTAGCCTCAGTCAGCAAAGAAATCAGTGCTCAGTTGTAATGGCAGTTACTTTTTACATATATATTTTGTTTAAAGAAATTGTCAATTAGATATAAATAATTTCCTTCATTTTCTTTTCAGTATGCATTATGTGGCTGTGTGATAATCCTTTCAAAGCAACTTAGAGGAGGCAAATGGCAAGATTTGAGTTTTGTAAGCTGTCCTATTTCTATTCACAATAACCGGATAGCGAGAAGGGAGGAGAGGATGGAGAACTTACTGTTAAAGAATTCCTCATAGTCTATTTTCTCAACGCAACATGTATACATGCGTAGTGCTGCTATTCTAATTTTCTGAAGAGAAAAGACAATTATGCTTAATACAATGTTGTATCATTTCTATTTTTCACTTAAGAAACTTCTGCAAAAATACACAAATGTTCCTCTATATTTTGTGATATTCACATTTATATATCATTTATTATTAGTTAAATATGCATTATTTATTTATTAAACCTCTTAGGTCCCTTCTAGGTCCCTTCTAGCTCTATATAGCTGCCCATCTCGCAAACAGCAAAAGGGCAGCATACAAAATAAAAACCAAACTAAAAAGATTATTGAATCACAACATATTGAACTAGTTATTTAATTTCATTTAACAACATTCAGTTTAGAATAACTTAGATTAGCAATACTTCATTTCCACTAACATATGCTCCTAACCTCAGTACAAGAATCCAAATTGAAATATTCTTTTCATATTTTATTTTATCTTATTACTTAACCGGAATCTGCTTTCCTGTAACTTCAGAGGATTATTCTCTACCTTGTACCCCAAGGCTAGATCAATCAGGGGTTGTGTGGTGAATTCTGCAGTGTGCACTTATTGGACTTGCTAATCTCTTAGGTCCCTTCTAGCTCTATGATTCAATGGTAGTAAACATTCTTGACTTTATCTGAAACATCCTGTCAGGTACTTTAAAAATGATGTAATCTTCTTAAGAAACAATACAGTATGCTTAGTCTTTCCTAAAACAATATTTAAAGTAAATAAACCTTGATGAGAAGATCATATAAAAACACCCCATGGCTCATGCATCTGTAATCTGTGTTTACAGATATTGCTAGGTAAATTGGAGATTTTATAATGCCACATCAACACATCAATACCCAGAAATTCTAAAAACAACTTTTAGATTAAAAATAATATGGATGGTGCTATTTAAAATGCATTCCAACTATCTCTGGAGAAAGCTCTAGCAATATATTATATTAATAAAAGTTATATTATTATCATGCATTTGAGTTTTACTCTACTCATTAGTCTTTTTAACAACCTCTTTAATAAACAATTGAGTAGATCTTAGTTATAAAAACATTATTTTTTTAATGCTTTTTGGAGAGTCAGTTGAGCATTTGATTTTTAAAAAAAACTAAATTTGGAATGTTCTTTATTTTACTTAGTCTTTCCTTTTAAAAATAAATTTCCTTCCATAGTAAGTTGCTGGGTTGCAACAAAAGAGATGCAAAGTCCCAACAATATGACTTGTATTCTAAATGCACCATAATTGTTCCAAGCACTGAACAATCATGTTTTATACTCTTCTGAGCATTGCTTCAGATTCAGAATTTAAAGTTGAAACAGCCCATTTCAAATTCAATACAATTATTTTACATTTATAATGTATTCTGCACTATCATTAACATGATTACAAGCTACTCAAAGACCACTCAAAGGTCAGAAAAGAAGAAAAACATTAAGTCAGTTCATAGCTTGTTGGGTCACAATTAGACATGCAGAAAATATTCAGCCAAAGTTAGCATTTTTATCTTCAAGTATAATAGCTGCATTCCTATAAACATCCTTAGTATGCCAAAGATAATTCAATGCTTCTTAATAAGCATGAATAGGATTATTCTATAAAATACAGTCATCATTTCTCTGGACTAGGAATTTGGTGTTACACCAAAATTTAGACCAAATACAAGTAACAAGTTTATGAAAAAGAGGATCAAACTTAAAAAGAAAAATATTTACCCATTTTTTATATTTTAGTGGCCCTGTAAATCCCATTGCTTCTATTATCTTTGTGAAAGTGCCTACTTTCTCTTCAGATGGCTGAGCGGAATTTCTAAAAACCTATAATAAAAGCAAAAAGTTATAAAACTCACATTTTGATTCATAAATTTCAAACAGTTAAAACTATAATCAGTTCTAAATGCCAGATCTAAATTGATACAAGTTTTCCCATTTTTTTCCCAATGACTATTTTTGAAAAAAATGAAGCAAAAAGATACTTTCCATCTATATGTTGAACCCAATTAATGTAAACCCTAGACTAGAGACATCCCAGCTATGTTAGATATGACTTGCATCCCTTTACTGCATAATCTGAATCCCAATTAGCTATGAAATAAGTTGAAACTGGCACAAATAAATGGTACCCACCATTCTTTATTCCACACTCCATAGAGCAGACATTTTGCTTTTGATATATGATTTAACGTATTCTTGTAATTGAGATTCTTTGAAAAAAAGGGGATGGGTACAAATACTTTTGACCATGTCTCTACCTGAATATACTGTAAAAGCAATGTATCAAATTGGATAATGTTTGCCATATTTTTCTTCTCCACCATAAGCCTTCGACTTATGAACAGAATTGAGCCAAAAATTAATATTGCTAAGCGAAACATTTGTTAAGTGAGTTTTGCCCCATTTTATGATCTTTCTTGCCACAGTTGTTAAATGAATCACTGGAGCTGTTAAGGTAACAAGTGCTGTTAAGTGAATCTGGCTTCCTCATTGACTTTGCTTGTCAGAAGTTTGCAAAAGGGGAGCACATGACCTTAAGACACATCATAAATATGAACCAATTGCCAAGCATCTGAATTTCGATCACATGACCATGGGGATGCTGCAACTGTCATAAGTATGAAAGCGGTCATAAGTCACTTTTTTCAGTTTCATTGTAACTTTGAACGGTCACTGGACAAATGGTTGTAAGTTAAAGGCTACCAGTATCATTTAAAATTTCACACGGAATAAAGGAGACAGTTTCTTTTTAACTTCACAAGATGAACTTCTAAATACTTCTAATTATTCAAGTTTATCTAGATAACATTTGTGACTATGTAATTGAAAGAATGTATTGAAAAAGTATGTAGTTTATAAACACAATTCCAATAGCAGTTCTGCTGCTACTGATGGGAAGGTAGAGAATTGATATTTACTTCCTAGGTTTTGTAGATTATTCCAATCTGGAGACTTGGAATAGTATTAAACAGATTTTAAAAAAGCAAGCGCCACTGAGAAGAAGAAAAAACTGGCCCAAGTGGATGCCACAAAAACCTTAAGGTTAACAGAAAAATAAAGCTGATTTGACTGCCTTAAGAAAGGCTGGCTGGAAGTCTGCTGTACAATCCTCCAAAGGTAGAAACTTTCAAAGCATGGACAATTGGTGTTTTGGCCACAACCAAAAACACCTACTGACTGATCCACTGTAGCTTTGCATGGGAGAACTCTCAGAAGGCCCTGCTGAAATGTTCTTAGTAGATACATGCCTAATCTGATTACAATGCCTAAGAAAGCCATTGTTTTAATTGGTCATAATAAATAACACATCAAGACCTGCAGCTCTGCCTTTAGGCTCTTGCTGCTTTCATCAAAATGATCAAGAGAGCATTTTTTAAATAATGAAACCCTATCTCAGGGCTGTCAAACTCGTGGGACATGGGCCAGATGCGTCACACACTGGCTACGCTCATGCCTGGTTTAGCAAAGTGGGGGGGAAGTGATGACTCCATGACGCCATGAGTTTGACATCCCTGCTCTATCCCTTTTGCGAATTTGTGTGGCATCATAACACACATAACAAATAGTGAGGCTTGTGTCACAACACTACTTGCATCACTCACTATCCCTCTCTGCAGATGCCCCTCAAAATCCGACTCTGCCTATACTGCTGTTTTTCACTGTTACGGTAGTCTATAGATGTCTCTGTCTCTAGAATAAGCAAGCACTGCTCAACAAGAATCAGAAATACTGCACGCAACAGCCCTTACATTAGTTTTCTTATGAAGATTCAACAAATAGGGAAAGTTCTTTGAAAAACATAATGCTATAAAGGTAGCCTCTAAAATTAGCCACACTTCTCCTATACAAATCCAGAAATCTCCAGATCCAATAAGACCACAACTGTAGCCCAGTACATTTGAACAACAAAATTGTAACAGAAAATTTTGCTTTCTCCTGACCTTTGTGTGATGAAATGTTCTGTTTGGTTGTTTCATTGTCCTGATACTTTGTATTAAATTACAGCAAACTTTGGTTAATGGAAACTGGCCATTGTTGTGTCTCTGATAAAAAAAAAAAAGGACATAAGTATGCAAAAAATAATGCAGAAGAGAAACATTGTTAACTTAAGAGATAACATAAACCTGAAAGTTACACACTGGAGTCAACCATGTTCTGCATAGCACAGCAGATAAAATTAGCCTTCAGGAATGATAAAGGAAAATACAGTAAACCACATCAGGTTCAAATTATTTAGCAGATCGCATTTCTTTCAACATTCCCATAAAATTCCCACACAATACAGTACACTGATAAAGTTCTAATTCTTTCAGCCTGTATACCTGTAAAAATATGTTATCCAGCAATTTCCAGGGAGAATTCTGCCCCATTATGATTGAATTCCTACCTGGAGAGAAGGATGGAGCAATCTGCCCCATTGTCGTTGAGCTAATGTTGTTTGTATCAATCCGTTGCATAATGCAATCCAGTGAGGTTCTCTAGTACAGTGTATCTAGAAAAAGAAAATAAAAGAGAATATATCAATGGTCACTCATTTGGAACAAAATTTAAATTCAATAGACTGTTCAACTTAATATAAAATATAAATGTACTGGTCTTCTGAAGATTCTGAATTTCCACAGTATACTTCAACCATATGAATTTTCAACATATTCAATTACAGTTCAAAGTGACAAATTATTATGCAGATTTGTATTCTAGTAACTTTTCAGTGTATGGTTAATATTTTTAGTTTGGGTGGGGGTTGAGTATGCATTCACCTCATGAACCTAAGGGAAAAAAAAATCTTTTCAATGGAATATTGTAGAATGCATTGATGCATGACAGTAATGATATGTTCTGTACTACTATCCAGTTATATTATATTATATTATATTATATTATATTATATTATATTATATTATATTATATTATATTATATTATATTATATTATATTATATTATATTATACTATCTATCTATATATTTGTTTTCTTAAGTTTTCGCGGGTACTTACATGTATGGCATTCAGCTTTGTTCGGGTATTTTCCCATGTCATTGTAGTTGTGCTTTTAAAGTTGTAGCAACGTTTCGGCAGAATCTCATCTGCCATCATCAGGCTTCCAAATAATTGACAGTCTGGTGGA